TAATGAAATTCGTTCTGACCTAGTATTGTTAGCTGTTCATGGATATTGAAGTTAACTCATTTCGGCTTCAGTACTATTTTTTTTTTTATTGTATCCAAAGTATAAGTTTGTCTCTTTTCAGAAAAAATTGTAGACTGCTTTTAGAGCTTTTAGACCTTTTCTGTATTAAAAGCTGCAGCCTTTTAATTAGAAGCTTCATTCCTAAAACCAATTTAAACAGCTGCAACATAGTGAGCACTGTTAAAGAGTTGTCAGCTTGAAATCAAAGCTTCAGTTAAAAAGATGCAGTCTTGAATATAAGGAAGGTATGAGCTTTTTTTCCATACAGTGGAAAATTATTGGTAAATAGGTAATATTTGAGGTTGCACTCTGTATGATAATATCAAAACTGGTTTCAGTCCCACTACATAAGCAGCTAGTTTTCAATGAGGGTTCAATGGGATTCATTGCTGGCAAGCAGTGGCAACAGCCAGGCAGTTTCGCTGTATAGGTAGATAATTGATACTCGCAGTGTTAAAATTACTTTCTTGCAGCATAAGTCACTTTGTGCTCTCATTTCTTTCTGGATACTTGTTAGGGGGTTTTTTAGAGGGAAAAATCTTAGTTTGTTGTTGACAAATATAATGGTTTGTAGAGCTACAAAATTTACACACCGTTTTTGATGACAAGGCCTGGATCTTGTGGTCCACCGCACCTAGGTAGATGCTAACATGCACACAGAGCATCATGACTTCATTGACACTGCTACTAAATGTGTCTAGTCAGTTCCAAGATTAGGATGCAACAGTCTGTTTAACTAAAATATTACATTTGGCGGGGATTCTTTCATATTGTAAGATGGTTGGTGCTACTCATGTCTATGGTCACAGATTTGCTCTGGAACCCACCATAGAAGTTCATTAACAGCATTGCACTACAACAGAAAATTGCAACTCATTTAAATGTAAAAATACAGAGCAGTATAAAATAACACATTTATAGTTAGCTTGGTAGAACATTTATTTTTAATAAAGCTGTAGTAGAATTTCTTTCTAGTCTACTGAATTTGGAAATGCACAAGTACACAGGACCTTGGGTACCTCATGCACTTTAAATGTGTCCAGGAAAACAGGAGGAGGGGGTAGGGCAGTATCGCCTCATGGTGGAATATTTCACAGACTATTTTGATGACACACCTTTTCTTCAGAGGACCAACTGGACAGGTTTTTGATATTTAATTAATAGAGTTATTACAGGGAAACAGTTTGAGGACAGATAGGTTCATGAAGGTAAATTATTCTTTAGAAAGATGTAGAAATGCTAGTGGCATGTGAACTTTTGGCATAATATAACAAAAAAATTTAGTTGAAATTAATATCATCTTCCCTTAAACCATGTCTCTTTCCCTTCCCCCTTTTGTCTAAAGAGGTAAAACATATATTTCCAAATCAGGTTTACTAGTTGTTGTTTTTTAAAGGTTGTAAAATTAGTTTTAGAACCCCAGTGCTCTTTCCTTTCATCCCCATTGAGGTGCAGCTTAGGGCAGAATGTGGTACCTGTTATATAAGAACATGTTTTAGGGAACAAAAATAGAAAGATCAGTATCAAATCCTTTCACAAGTAATGACTGATAGATTTAGGCTGTAATAGTATATCCAAGTGAAACTGCAAAGAGAAATCTGTATAGAGTGTAACTTGTTTTCCTGGCTACACTTCAAATTAATGCTCCTTGCAGAGCTCACAATGCTATAGAATTTTGAATGAAAATAGGTAGAACAATGGTTCTAAATTTTCTCCAAAAGATGGCACCTCCAATAGGTGGACCTGCTGAATCAATATGTCTTGCAGGAATTTAGTTGTCTTCTACTCTAAGACCAAATTGTCTTTATGCTGCTTAGTGTGTGAGTGTAAGGTCACAAAACAAGGAATGGCTTTCCATGTTAAGTGTTAATTGCTATATTTCAGCAATGTTTCTCTTAGAAGACAAATCAGCCTCTGTCTGGTTTTTACTCCATTTATATGGGAGGGGGAGACTTCTTAGGTGTATCTTCAAATACAGAGCTAGCTCAATTTTTATAGTAGTCTTAAACACAGTAGTGGTTTGTCAGCAAAAGAATTCTAGAAAAAACTATAGGTAAAAAAGTTAAGTGTATGGCTTAAAGCAAGAAACTTCTCAAAACTTTTATTGATTTCCTATCTCCTCCTTTCCTTTTATTGGAAATGGAAAGTTACCAGTTTTAATGGATTAAGGTCTTGAGTGACTGCTTTTAATGAAGGGATCGATAACCTATAGCTTGCAGGCTGCATCTGGCCCACAAAGTCCAGTCTGATCTGGGGAATCGGTGACAGAGCTGCACTGCGCTGCTGGGGAGCCTGCTGCTCTGTTTCATCTGCACTTCCCTTTCTGAGGGGTTGGGAATCCTGCAGCAAGAGTGAGTGCAAGCAACTGGCTGATGACGGGGGAGAGGGTGGGAAGGAGGTGGAGACCTCCTGCCCTCAGCCACAGCCAGGTTGCAAGCTCCTGAGTTTACCAGCAAAAGGCTGTTGACCCCTGTAATACATGTATAAAAACAATTTTATGGTAGGTAGTTTTGAGCCGTCAAAGTTGGTTCCCAGCTGCAATGTGAATACAGAGACGGCTAACTGTGGCTGTAAGTAGACATCTCATTGGTTGCAGGCCTGATTTTGTTCTAGAGATCAAATCAGGTTTGAGCTGGATCAAATCAGGTTTGGCACAACCATTCATACATTGCCCTACATAAATACTTTACTTCCAAAGTTAAAACTCAAATTCATCACTCTTAATTCAGAAGGTAGTAGCAGATCCTAAGTTGTTTTTTTAAGGTGAGTCCTGCAAAGACTGGCATAGTACATAGTTTTACTTCAGTGGCACACCAGGAGTGCCATTGAAGTCAAAATGATACACTTGGGTAAATCTTTGTATTAGGGCACCAGCTGGCATAAACATACAGACTTGTTGTAGGGATCACAACTTACAAGTAGGGTTGTGGGCTCCACAAATTCAGTTCTTGGGCTGAGACTGAAAGTGGGGAATTGGCCCCCAAAATTTTGAAAATGCTGGTATAGACCATGTTTAAATGATGATGTTATGGTACAATTTCAACTTGTACCAGATTTCAACTTTGTCACATTTTGGTAGAATTTCAGTGTTGATACCAGTTTCAGAATAACTGTTATTGACTTAGTAGGTTCAGCATATATTTCAGATTTCCAGTCCTTGCTGTCAGTGCACTCTCTCTCTCTCTAGACTAAACCCGCATTTAAAATTATAGTGTAAAAGAGTTCTGCGTGCACAAGAGTCCTACAGAATACCCCTGTGTGATACTAATGCCCTGGTTCTGAATCCGTCTGACAGTTGGCTTATTATTTGAGCTTTTCACTCAGCATTGCTCAATTGATGGAAGCTACTTGCTGATCATTCCTGCTGTAATTGAAGACCATTATTACAAACTCTGTCAGATGCATACAGTGTCTCCAAATTGAAAAATACATTGGCTTCAAAGATCATCAAGTAAAAGAAAACTGATGCCTCTTAAACTACAGTGGCAGCATTGCATCTTGGAATAGCATGGTACCCCAGAAGATTAAGCACCTGAAGAGTTTGATATTACGTAGTGTGTTATATTTTTACAGGTGCCTCTGATAAATGAACTTGAATCATCAATGCACCAGCTGTACAAACAGCGAGCTTCGCGCCTTGTCCAAAGACGACAAGATGATATTAAAGATGAATCTTCGGAGTTTTCAAGCCATTCAAGTCAGTCCATCTTGAAGGTTTTTATTATTCATTAAACAACCTTGTTTACTTAGTATGGTTTAATTTTAAAAGTAAATGCTGCACAGCATGATTGATTTAAATATTTATCCTTGCCCTTGTGATGGGTAGAAGCAAATTTAGGTTAAAAGTATTCTAGTCTCTTGTTTAAATACTAATCTGCTCTGATTCTGAGACTTCATCTCTCCTTTCTGTCGGTCTTAACTACATATTTTCTTTCTTTCCTAGCATTCAGAATGTGTGAGAGTAGTTATGTTTTGACTTCAAACTGTGTCAGGATTTGTTTTGATCAAATAATTTGAAGTGTCCCTGGAATTCAGGCTACATCTGCAGTTGATTTTTGGTTAGGATTATAAAGACATTTGATCATCTGAAGAGCCTTTTAATTTTTAGACTACAATTTAGTCTATAAACTGTAAAAGTGCTAAGTTTTGGACACTTTGAAAAAATAATTCAAAGTTAGGAAATCAGAGGGTATCTGTTAAAACTCTGTACTTTCCTTTGTTAGCAGGTCATGGAAATTAATGTTCAAGCATTTTAACTTTTGTATGAAGCATCTGTCATTGAAAAGCAGAGAAACAATTGTTTCAACCATGGAAATCATTCTAAAAAAACCTTGTGCAATGTTGATTCATCTCCCTCTTCTTTGGAAAGCTTTAATTCTCCAGAGTAGAAGATATTGGTCAAAATTTCAAGTAGCTGCTTTTGAACACTTTTTTCTGTAATTATTAGATTTGGGCTCCTGTCCATGAGAGGGTATAGGGTTTCCCATTTCACATAAATCATAATAAAAAAGTATGTTTTGAATGTAGAAAAACATGTCCTGCAACCACCAGAAGTTCATGTGAGACCCTACTTGCTGATATCCACACCTATACCTCTTACATACCTATGTGGTTAAGGCTCAGTGACAATTCATACACTACCTAATTAGAAAATTGCATCCTCCCATCAGTCAGTAAATCCCATCAGAAATAATCCATGGAACATACACACAGGCTCTGTGGTTTAAACCACCCCTCTATAGTGGGGGCAAGTATAAGCCCTCCTGGAGATTTTCATGTTAATTTTGACATTTATTATCATTTACTTCACTGATTTAAGAGCAAAATTTATGGCACCTAATTAGAATAATCTGTTGTTGAGTTGCCTTGGGGAAAAAATGTGCTCTGATGAATGTGTAGGACTTCAAGTAAATTAGTGAACTTAATCATTTTATTCCAGGGAGGAACACCACATTAATAGGAATATGAAATACTGAACCTTACTCTACAATTCCTTTTCTACCCATTCTCTTCTCTCTCTTTTTTTCTCACATTATTTAAAAAAAATTGCACAGTAATGAGTTTATAACAGCGTAGCATTTCCATCTTCTACCTAGCAGCTTAAATGCTATTTAAGACCACTCAATTTTGTGATAATTTAATGAGCATCAATATTAGAGGGAACAGAATGAAGTGCATTGAAATATTTGATTTAACTGGAATTTCTTTAGCATGAGAGTCCACCCTCCATCGCTTCCTCTCTTAAATTAGGGAGCCACAAATTCAACCTTCTAGGTGTCTGTTTTACAACTGCCTCATAATATAACAATTTACATTAACTGGAAGGCTGTCATGAGTTTGCCAACAACACATTATTCTCTATAAATGTAGATAAAAGTATTTTAATTCATTTTAATATCGTCTTGCAGGTAAAGCACTGATGGCCCCAAATCTTGATTCTTTTGGACGAGATAGAGCACTCTATCAAGAGCAAGTAAAACGCCGAACTGCAGAAAGGGAGGCTAGAAGGTAAAGCAAGGGGTCGGGGAGGAATTGGTGCCTATTTGGTCGGCATTGACTGACTGATTTTTTTGTTTTGTTTTGTTTTTGTTTTGTTTAAAAAGGAAACCAGAATTTTATACAAAATATGTTAAGGTCTAAAGTTATCCTTTAAAACTTCTTTTAACTAGAAGATAAATATACAGAATTAACACACCTCTGTCAAATATTTGAGTTAGACTGATGCTTTTCTAGATAAAAGGAGGGATTGGGGTTGGGCAGGTCAAGCTCCATAAGTGAGCATAGGTGATCATTCTATTCAGAGCTTGAACCTCTTGGATCCAGAGGCTGTATTACTAGTAAAGTCACCACAGGCCTTGGGATCTGGCCTCTTAATTCCAGGAGCTGCTATTGTGTATTTCTGAAGAGTTGTCATTTGGGTCATCTTGTACTTCTGCTTTAAAGCAGATATTTACTTATCAGATTTATTTTCTGTTCTTCCCAATGAAGGTTTGGGTGGCCTACAATAAATGATAAGAAAACCTATGAAACCAGGTAGAATATTTAAAATAAGATGTAAAACAAAAACTCCCCAAACAATATCCCAGTTTAGCCTTCTTTGCTAAACACCTGCCCAGATAGGAACTTCTTACAATGCTTCTGGTTATTTGATATAAAATATAAGCAAAAAATTGAATATGTAGTAAAAATGCAATATATTATTCAGCACTGTCTAACCTACTAAAATACAAATAAGAATTTAAAAATAAGCTGTACAAGTGCTTAAATAAATGTGCATGCTTATAGTATCTCTCAGGTAGGAAAAAGATGTACCAGATCTTGCATAAAGGCTCTAGGTTCTGCATTTACATGTTTCAGTAGCTAAATCAATCAGTGAGAATGTACCTTTCTTTACAAAATAACTTGTACAGAAATGGGAAAGATGATTTAAATCAGTGCTTTCCACTTAGTGATTAAAACGCCTTGATTTAAGATATCCACACTGATTGGCTCTGGTCAATTTTGTGGCAATCACTGTGTTGTCCTAAGTTACAGAAAGGTCTGGCCTAGTCCTGGAGAGCTTACAAGCTGGACAGCATAAAAAGTAATGAAGGGAATATTTAAGTTAAATAACACAGATGGTTATCTTGTTTGTCACTACTTTGTTTCCAACAGAATTTTCTTCGTTGTAGCCCCTCCTGTTCAACTGCCTCATCTAATATGCTAGCCAAGGATGTCCACAGATATTCAGGCTTTCTGTGTGAAAGCAGTCAATCAGATGGTGCTTGTTAAAGTTATTGAAATCAGCTGTAGTATGTGTGAAGGGGCCTGAAGTTTTAGTTGCCATGGTGGAGGATGAAGAAACTGTCTTTGCTATGAGTTACATTAGATTCATAAATTACTTGTACAAAACATTATAATCACTAGCTTATACCCTTAATTTCATTGTTGCCTTATAGAGCCCGTCGAAGGCAAGCAAGAGAGCAAACTGGGAAGATAGCAGATCACCTTGAAGGCCTTTCCAGTGATGATGAAGAAACTTCAACTGATATTACTAACTTCAACCTGGAACGAGGTTAGAAAAGTTGTTCAGAATAGGGAGGACTTGAATATGTAGAAAAAATATGCAGACTTCTGCAGTATGGAATATGTTCAGATTTAGAATGACAAGATAATAAAATAGTCCAAGCATTTAATAGGCCTAAAACCTATCAATTTTTCTCTTTTATGTATAATCTTAAAAACAGCTGTAACTAGACCCATTTGATATAAAATCACATAGAAAATTAATTTACTTACAGTCCCATTTATGGCGACATTTTAGCCAGATTGCAATTGTTCATCGAGCAGGAAGTGAACTTAAGGGTGAACAATGGGTTTCTGTAACCCAACTTATTATATGATCTTGCCTTAACTCATTTTGGTCTCTCTCCTGCAACTCAAATGTCTTTTTGCATTTCATAATACAGGATTTTCTTGATTAGCCACAGTAGACTTTGTAGTCCTGTGGAGGTTGGTAGTTAAGTTCTTGAAAAAGTTTTTTGTCCAAAAGCTGCTTAGAAAACGATTTTTGGTTGTGATAAAGCATAATACTATAGAGCCTGTAGAATTCTGAAGTCTTTCGAAGTATGGTAAATGGCTGCCTGGAGAGCTTCCCTGGATTTGTCATGAATGTTTAAAAATGTAATGACATCTTTTTAGAACCGTATCATATTTGTTTGAATTCTGTAACAATTATAGTGTCTTGTTGCATACATCTTAACTTAATGGGTGGTGTCTAGTGACTGAACTCTAATTCTTTAACCCTCTAATTTTTCATAACTTTAATTGATTAATTGTGGCTTCCTTAAAACTGCTGTCAGTCCAAATAGTGTTCCCAGTCATTGTAGTAGTTAAACTTTTGACATGCAGTAGTTCTGTACTGACAAATGTATACATGGGAGAACCCATGGTTACTGGAATGCTCACTTGATCAGCTCGTCAGGGATGTCTCATTGTACTTGGGACATGATACCCATATAGCTGAAGTCCACTTTTACCAACTTCCAAGTATCTGTGCCATTCAGAAAATTGGACTGTGCTACCTTACAATATCTTAATGTAAAATCTTTTGACATGATACAACAGTATACCAAATGGACACCTTAATGTCAACACACTGTTTAGTTTTTGTTGTTGCATTGTGTAGGTAGAGCACAGTAGAAAAGGTTAACTTTTTGTTTTCTTTGCATTTTTGTCACTTCAAAATTAACCATATCTTCTGGTATAAGATGCATTAAGATGCATACCAAAAAGAGGTATAAAATTAAGGTATGACCCATATGTCAAACCTAGATAACAGAAGTAATTGAAATGAATGTAATGAAAGTTAACCAAATTCAGTCAAATTAAGCATTACAAATACTTAAACTTTTCCTCTAGATCGCATTTTGAAGGAGTCCAGCAAAGTTTTCGAAGACGTATTAGAAAGCTTTTATTCAATTGACTGTATTAAGTCACAGTTCGAAGCCTGGCGTTCCAAGTACTCCTCCTCTTACAAGGATGCTTATATTGGCTTATGTTTACCAAAGCTTTTTAATCCTTTAATAAGACTGCAGCTTCTTATATGGAATCCGTTAGAGGTAAGATACTGGGTTTAAAATTATAAACAAGTTTTTAAGTGGGTTGTAGTACTATGGGCTGTTGCACCATTTTCCCAAATAAAGTGAAATGCACTTCTGACATTCCTTGTATCCGAGTGCACTCTGTGCATGCTTTGGCTTTCACTTTCTTTGAGGTGGAATGGCATGATTCTCTCACACTCAGACTAAGCTCATGGCTGTTATAGAACTTGTATACGGCATCTGCAAAATTCTTTCCTGAGGGGCAGTAAGAGTTCTGTAACAAAACAGCCGTAAAGAAATTATTTGAAACAAAAACATCAAAGGGAAAGAGAGTCTTTAAAAAACAATAAACCATTATATGTCTACCTGCCTTTTTCCATGAGGCATAACGCATTTAGACTCCCTCTGCAAATTTTATCTGTGTCAGCTGCTTCCACGCAATAGAGTAAAACCTATTAAGAGAACAGAGTTTTTTTAAAACTGTGTTAAGTGTTCTTTTGATCTCTGGGCTACCAGACTGGCAGAATTGGCAGCATCTGAAAGAGATGATTCTTATCTAAATCCATTGCATTCCTTCCTTGCTTGTTTTCCCCAAGCTCTTTTTAAGCTAAAACAATTAAAAGACCAAAACACCCTATTACCTATTAATAACTGTATTTTGCTGACCAGATCACACACCATTTGTAAAAATTAGGTTTGGTATTCTAAGATTGTCATATAGCTATTCTCTTTTACTGATGTCTCCTGGGTCAGTGTACCTGCTATTTTACTGTGAGTTGGAAGGTGTTGCCCAAATGGGACTGTAGGACTAATTTTAATCTGTTTCTACAGTGACCTTTTGCATATTGCATTGATAAGCAAATAAGGCTTTGGGAAACAGCTGTTTCGATTCAGTTTTGGATTTGGCCATTTCAGAGGGACAGTGATTTGTTTCAGTGTTTCGGATCGCTGATCCGTTTTGATTTGGCTGAATCTTTTTCAGAGTTTCAACACTTTTGGTGATTCGGCCATAGGTTATGATGGGGAATCACTAAAATGCCTATAACTTTGTCATTTCTTGCCTGATTTGGATGAAACTTGTAGGAGTGGTAGCCCCTTCTGCGGGCATGAAGCATGCCAAGTTTCAAGGAGACAGGTATAGGGGTTTCTGTGAAATTGCACCTCAAACTGTTCAAAGCAAAACTTATAGTACTTGCTGGCAGCAGCAGCATGCTGTCATCCCGCATGCCGATCCAGGGGCCCATGCCCCCCTGGGAGGGCTGCAGGGCTGTGCCAGACTTCTCCCGAGGGGCGCAGGTCCCTGGATCTGTGCACAGGATGAGAGCAGGCTGCCGCTGCCGGCTGAGACCAGCACTGGGTTATTTCCGGTGCTCAGTGCGGGCTGTACCAAGCAGACTCAGGTGCTGGCGCTGGTCCCAGCTGGCAGTGACAGCATGCTGTCATCCCGTGAGCAGATCTGGGGGCCCACGCCCCCCAAGAGGGCTGTGGGGCTGTGTCAGACTCCTCCCAGGGGGCGTGGGTCCCCAGATCTGTGCGCAGGATGACAGCAGGCTGTCATTCCTCCCCCAGCGCACTGGGATTTGAAGGGACCTCGGGCAGATTGCAGACACTGGCCAGCTACAGATGTCAATATCAGAGCAGTCCTTCCCCTCCACCCCACCCCTCCCTCTTAATTTCTGTTTCCCTGGATGCCCAGCTCTGAAACTCCGAAATTTTCTGAAATGTTTTGGATGGTTTTGTTTTATTTTGGATTCAGCGTTTCAGGTGCCTAAATGGGCCGAAATGCCTCTGAAACGGAATGGCTGCCAAAGTTTCAGACAGCCCTAATAAATATTGCTAAATAATCCTAAAATATTGCATGCTCCCAATATTACTGAACTGACAGTCTCTCTCTTTCCTTCTTAATGATCAAACATAATCAGCTACATTTTTACCTGCAACTTATGTTTCATCAATTTCTTTAATCACAGAAATCAAGCCCCTTGCTGACAGCTGTGTTGCTATACGTTTCCTAGTGTAAGCAAGGATATATACAGTGCTTTTGTTTGGTTTTTTTTCCCCCTCTCACCTGATAATTAACAAGTCAGTTTTTTGGACACTTGCCAAATAACAAGAAGTACACACAAGTCCAAAACAGACTTAATGAATATACTTTAATCCTGTTTACCAGTGAGTGTGTCTTCAGATTAAAATAAGCTGTTGTATTTACCATTTAAAGATATACAGATGTTGAAAATGTTCCAAGTGGCTTTCCACTTTGCTTGATTTGTAGTGTATAGATATATGCAGATATTTGTGAAGATGGAGTTGCCAGGGAAAGGATCAAGAGAAGACTACTTGAGGCAGTGTTGAACTTGTGGGCAGCAAAAAAAACTTTTATTTTCTGCATGTAAACTCTGTGTGTGTGTGGGGGGACTGGGACACAGATTAATAACTGTGTTCCATAGGTTACAAAATTAGTTTCTTTAATAAAAAAGGTAGAAGGCCATATTCATTTAAAATGGTATTTGTGACTCTTTTAATTAATCTGTACATAAGAAGTGCTATATTGGATCATACCAATAGCCCATCTAGCCCAGTATGCTGTTTGCCAGTGACATGTAGCAGATATTGCCAAACAGTGAGGGCCATTTTGACAGGCATACCAGAAATTAAGTCCTACGCTTTCACCAAGTGCCAGTCCAATCCCCTTCCCCTGCCCAGTCTGCTGTTCTTCTTTCTGTTTCCTGCCCTGTCTGCTGCTGTGCTTCCTGTCCCCACTCCTGTCTGCCACATGCTGCGTATGAAGGTTGCCTGTGCCACTCATGGCACATGTGCTGCCAGGTTATCCATCCCTGCTTTAGAGGAAACATATATGAACAAGGTTTATCTAGAGCAGTGATTCTCAATCAGGGTATCCTTTGAAGGGTGCCTCCAGGTGGGAGGAGGTAAGTAAGCTGTGAGGAGATAAGCAATTAAGAACAGGTTTAGGCTTATTCCTGCGTGGCTGATCCCCTATCCCCACTGCCCAGCCTCTTTTGTAAGCAGGTAAGTGGCATAATATCTGAATTTTTTTTTTTTTTTACATTGGGTGCCACTCAATTCCAAGAAGTTGTGGAGGGGTGCCTTGAATCCAGAAAGATTGAGTAGTCCATCCCCTGTCATGACCAACCTGGCATCAGTCATCATTGATTTTAAGGATGTCAGATCCCTGGCTTCTCTTCTGTTCCCAGCGGACCCATCCTTTATGGATTTGTCTAATCCTTTTTTCACTCTGACTGTATTATCTTCTTCATTGTTGCCATGATGCAGGCTCCACTGTTGTGGCTGGGTACAAGTGCCACAAGCACCTGTCATGTATTGTGTTCTTCTGCTTGCTTCAGGGCTGTCTGGTAAACCAAAGCCAGGCAGAGGACTGGCTTGTGCTGTAGCTCTTCCCCATCTGTTCTCCCCCCCGTTCCTCCTGTAAACAGAGGCATGCAAGACAGTTCCACTTCCTCTGGATGCCTGTGTTTTTGGGAGATGCCAAGTGGAATCAGACTAGGAAGAGCTGCAGCACCAGAATCTGGCCTTTCAACTTTAAACTTATCAGAAAGCCTTAATGCCAGCAGGAGAGTGCCTGTGCTGCAGCCTTCCCCATCTGGTTGTGCAGCAGGAGCGTGAGGCCTGTTTACTTGGTCATGGTGGCAGTGGCAGCAATCTGGCTGAAAGCCACTGAGGCAGCGTATTTTAGTCTAAAAAAGTCATGGAGTGTTACTGAAGGAGATTCATACAGAAACCAGTCTGTGATTCTGTGTAAAATAACTGTATATTACCTCCCCAAGCCGATAAAATTTGGTTCACTCTCTAAACAGAGAGACCTAGAGGCACAGTATTCCACATTCAGTACATTTTTGTTTTGTTTTAATCTGGTAGCAGTTTTCAGAAAAATAAGAGACCATTTTTGACTCTTCAGTGCTGTGCTGTTCCAACTGATTAAAAAATCATAAGCCTAGTCAGAAAGAAGAGTCTTAAAGTGCTGAAGGAAGGAGAATACTATCGATTTAAGGCTGGGTGTATCAAAGATATTTTTAGCAATTGGGCTTTCAGTGCAGGAAGGTTTTTCATGGCCCTCTATTCCTCATCTAAAGCACTTTCCAGAGTAAACACATGCAGTACATTGCATTAACTCAGTGGTTCTCAACCTGGAGTGCTGCTTGATTCAAAAAAGTAATGGAGGGATGCCCTGCCTCTAAAAAGGATGAGAACCACTGTGCTTGTTGGAACCTTCTCTGGCAGTAAGCATCGCAAGTTAACTACCCACTGTTTGTTTAAACCTGCCTCCGATTAATTTCATTGAATGCCCCCTAGTTGGTTCTTGTAGGCCACAGGTCTAACTACTTTCTACTACTGTAGTCTTCTGTACTTTCTACAGTTTTCTAGGAGCTAAGTTTTCTTTCAGGCTAGATTTTATTTAGGTACCTGAAGATGCACAATACATGTCTAAATACCATTTAGTGTACCCAGTGCTACTTAATGTGGCTTTTTAGGACACTTGGCAAATAATTTCAGAGCTGTTATGCTTTGTCTAAAGCCTGCAGGTGTGTTAAATTGATATTAGTACTGCTTAACAGGTATTTTAAAGTATTGTTGGTGTTGATCTTAACATATGGAAACTAACATCTCTTTTCACTTTTTAATAGGGTAAATGTCGAGATTTTGAAAACATGCTGTGGTTTGAATCATTGCTTTTTTATGGCTGTGAAGAACAGGAGCAAGAGAAGGATGATGCAGATATTTCACTGTTACCTACCATTGTGGAAAGGGTGGTTCTTGCTAAACTAACAGGTATGTTTCTCAAAAATACCACTGTCTTATTACTACTTAAAACTGCTAAACTATCCTAAATAAAGGCATAAACCTTTTCTTTTGTTTTTGTTTAACTATCTTCCTGCTTGTTTTATGAGCACCTGTGAAGAAAATGGTGGAGTAATTTTAATTCTATTTTAATAGTCATTGCTGAGAATATATGGGACCCTTTTTCCACATCACAGACATCTAAAATGGTAGCAATCACACAGAAACTAGTAGATGGATATCCTTCAGTGGTAAACGCAGAGAACAAAAACACACAGGTAAACCTTTATCTCAATTGCCTTTGTAGGACTTTTGGGGGATGGTTTTTACAGAATAAACAGTACAGTGGACAACAACATAGTGCTTATCTGCTGTGGGAATAAGAAACAGAATTTTATAACTAATGATGTGCCCTAGCTAGTTCTGTAGCACTAAGCAAAGCCAGTTGGGGAAGTACACTAGGAAAAGGAGCCGAGAAATTGAAGAGTGCATAGTTTTTGGTGAGATTGGCACAGGGAAATACAAAGGGTACTAAACTTGATTATGATGCTATAATTTTCCTTTATGGTTTACCTGAAAACCATTTGGTTTCTTCCTTTTACAATTTGTTCCTGGAGCAGCCTTGGATTTATTGCTCCAAAATTCAGTTGCTTGCCTTTTGTCTATGAACAAAAGAACTTATCTCATGAGTAGGGACCTACCTAAGTCACTGTGAGATGATGGGTTTTTCACGCCTGGCTTGCAACATGCAGAGCCAATTTCATAGACATTTCATGGAGGCCCCAACCCTCACTGCTGATTGGTGGAGGGCTCAGTCTATGTCACTCAGTCTACCTCACTACCACTTTGCTCAGCTCCTTGCTGCTGATTTGGTAGAGGATGCATTCACTCAGTCTGCCTCACTACCACTTTGCTCTGCTCCTTGCTGCTGATTTGGTAGAGGGTGCATTCACTCAGTCTACCTCACTGCTGCCTCTGATTTTGTGGGAGATGATAGCCAATGCTGGATTTCCAGGTAATCGTGGACAATGCTGTTTTTCATAGTTTCCGCCAAACTGAGATTTAGGTAGGTCCGGTACTTGTGAGTTACTAGTATAGTATTTACTGCAGTATCTACACTGTCATTAAAATAGTTGGAAGTAGTCCAGAGTAGTTATTGGGGAAAAGTTATTTCAGCATGAAGATTGAGGCCTTGGTCTTGCAAACTGCTAAGCATGTGTCTAATGTTAAGCCTGGAGAAGTCCAATTGAGTTTTAATAAATTTGATTTAAAATATTGTACTAAAAATTGGATGCTAATAATCCTTATATCTGACTTCAGGGGACTATCTGCCTGCTTAACTTTAGGTACATGCTTTCATTCTTTGTCCAGTTGGCTCTTAAAGTACATTGCCTTTACATTTTTACAGTGGGTCTCTAACAGCCAAGTAGGACTTCTAGCATTCTAGTAATTCCATCCCAATGTTCACTTTTTCAGACGTTCTTGAAAGCCCTGTTACTAAGAATGAGGAGGACACTAGATGATGATGTATTCATGCCATTGTATCCAAAAAAGTAAGTTTATTATTAAATGTGCAGGTACCACCATGAATATGTATATTAACAGTACCAAGTACAGTTTGTTTTGAGTATGGTAGGTGAGGTGTTTTGTGTAGTTCTGGGGTGGTTCTTTCGCTTGGCTGCAACAATTTCACTGCTATGTAGGGAGAAGTTAAATGAAGAGAAAGTGAATCATGGGTGGTATAAATCTGGACTCTTTAGTGTACTTCTGTGTGTGAAAATAGAGATTAATCCACAACCTTCAGGCTGAGGTTTTAATGCCTGGTTTTATAAATAAGTTTAGAGAAATCTCTTATTTTCCAGTGTCTTAGAAAACAAGAATTCTGGTCCATATTTGTTTTTCCAACGCCAGTTTTGGTCCTCAGTTAAGGTAAGTTGACAAATATCTGGTGAGGTTTTATCTAGGTACTGCTATTGTTAAATACTCATAATTATATAGACAGAATGACCTAGTTGTCCTTCTGTCATACTTGCTTTATGTGAAAATTTTGTGTCTTCAGGGTTTGAGTGATAAGTACCTGTTGTGGGAAATACCTATGATTTTTAACCATCTTAATTTGAATTTGAGTACAGTATATAAACTTAACTAAAATTATTACCTTTTTGATAGGACTGTTCCCTTTTAAAATCTCTCTCCCATACAAAGAGCAGAATTAGGGAATGCTTAAATGAATTGCCTAATCTTATAACTCTTAAAGATAGCTATGCAGCTTTGATCAATACACTAGGCAGATAACACTCAATAGTCCAATTAAAAATGAACTAGGACAAATAGTGCAGCAGGGAAAACAGTAGTGGGGGTCAGTTAGGAAGCAGGTGTTGGGGATATGTGGTAGGGGGCAGGCTGCTCGACTCCCTTCTCACTGCCTGCCCTCCTGTCACTACTTTCCATGCTGCAGCAGTGTGAGTGATTTTAACACAATCCTCCAATAAATGATTCTGTACATGGAAAATTACAACAAATTTATAAATTTTCCATATATAGAATGTAATTATTCAGGGAGCATCTTAAATTCATAGTTTTCTTGGATTCAGGTAAATATAGTGTGTTCAAGGATAGAGAAGCCCCGAGGACTGTGCATAGGGGGAAGGCATGAAACAGAGCTACCTGGTTTTTAGACGCAGCCTCCCAAGGTAATCATATTAAATATCAAGGCATGGCAGATCAGAAACAGGAGGCTAGGGAAGCTCAAGGACCGAGCAGGTGGGTCCGACTGCCAGGGGGCATCAGACTCTGGGGTGAGAGCTCCGCACTTGTTACAGTGACCATTTTTGTTTAATTAAAATTATTTTTCTTTTAACATTTGAAACTTGAGAGTCCAGCCATATTCCCCTCTGGAGAGCAGAGATGCACAAAGTTTCAAAGAAACCAAATAATTAGGAGTGCACTGATAAAGACTTTTTGGGCCAGTGCTGATTATTAACCAGTTTTTTGGCCAATACTGATCCAATTGCCAAATTATACAGCCTGGGAGCTTTGAGTGTTGCTGGAAGAGGTGGGGCTGGGGCAGGTGCAGGTGCTGCTCAGCTGGGGTGGGGCATGGGATGGAGCCACATGTGGCTCATACAGGGGGCAGGGGAAGGCAGCTCCCACCACTGTGCGCACCCCCAGGTCCACCAATATCGACTGATTTATATTGGTGCCCCTCAACAAATAATAAAAATGTTTTCTGACTAAAAGGCAGCATCACAAAGAGATTTTAAAATACAGAGATTTTGTTTTCATGCAGAGATTGGAAAAAAACAAAACAAAAACAGTTCCACCTTTTCTCACCTCGGCCACAAGAAAAAATCCTGGAAACACTACTATTTGTAGAAGTCTGGGTTTCAGTGACGCTGTCTATCTTCAACTCCTAGATCTGTCCACCCTTTGGTTCACTTTCTAAGCTGATACACTTTTCCAAGCGCAAAAATAAGTTATCCACAGCATCTAAAAATTTTGTCATTTTCCTAGACTATGAGCATGTAATAGGCATGTTTCCTGTCTCCACCCAGCGCCCACCCTCAAGTAGCGTAAAACAGATATGACGATGATGATAAATATTTGTGTCAGACCTGCAAAATGCCATGTCTTGTGTGACACTATCTGATAGTGTTGTCACTATGGACTAGTGTATTTAGCAATACTTCTGCAAAAAGAAGCCTTGTAATCAGAGTACTGTTGCAACCAGATTACATATGTACCCACACGACATTTGGCGGCAATCAGTAGATCTGGCTGAAACTGGGTGGATCCCCTACCACAGCTGCACTGGCAAGGCATGGAGTGCATTCCCTCCTGGGAGACATCAGTCATTAACGGGCAGCTGGCAGAAGGCACGGCACGTCTACACATGCTGCCTTTTGTTTGCAGAGCTGATGGTGCAGCAACAAAAGGGTTCTGCTGCCATGGAGGGAGCTGCAAGTGTGGACGTACTTGCAGTTTTGCTAGCACAACTTTATTCCTGCTAACAGTTGCGCATTGTAGATGAGGCCTGAATCCTGCAGGCCAGCTGAGATGTCATGCAGACTCTTGAAATGACTTGCAGTTGCTGCTGCAAGCAGCCATGTCATGCTGCTTTGCTTGACTGATTGCATGATGAGGGGCTCAGTAGCAACCCTCCTTTCTACAGGTACCCTTAGCTACTTGCTTTCCTGCAGACATCCTCACAGACCTCCCCACCAACATAGCCCTTTATATCCAGCAATAAAGCAGTCCCTTATACTCATTTATCTCCATGCAGTTTTGTGCCTTCCTGTGCCACTGCTTGAGGCAGAACCTTGACTGTAAGCTGAAGTTTCTCATTCTGTTCAGATATCTCATAATTGTGTAAAATGTCAGACTGAGCAACACCACTTAGTTCTGCTGTTAGGGGAACCAGTATTCAGCTTATTGTAAAGTCTGCCTTCTGGCATTTTTAATGAAGTATTTGAATCCTTCTTGCTGGTACATAGAAGCGGAAGGAGGTGCTGCCTTCCAGATAGAATTCAAGGAAAACTTTGGATTTTTTGAATGAGTGGGGAGCACTCTGGGATGTTGCTGTCCCATCTCTTCTGCAGTTTCTCAACAGCTGTTCTATTGGCCACTAACTGCATTGCACAAAAGGAAAGAGAGTTGCTCTGGCTACTTCATTGCCTGCTTTCCTGCCAGGCTATGTACACAGCAAAAGGATTAGTGCCAAAAACTCTACTATCTCTGCCTTGGGTTAGGGGCGCATCTTTGAAAAGATCTCTTCTATCTATCCCATGCAGGCTGCTGTACTTTACAGTAGGCTGGAAATATCTCCCCAGGGTTCTACACCAGTCCTGAATAATCAACACAGCATACTCGGTTAACTTCGTCCTGTCCATTCTCACGTCTCTTGTACCAATGGCTCTCAGGAATTAAATGTTCCTAAGTGCTCAGTAGCAGTAGAGTGTCTTTTAAGATGGCAAAAAATCTAGCCCCCAAGTACTGATAGATATGTTCAGGCCTTGGTTTGAAAAATCTGGTCACCAGTATGCTATACCATGCTTGGTTTCACAGATGCTTACCTTTTAAATTGGTAGGGCAAACTTGGGCTTTTAAAACATTGCTTTTTTTTCTTCAGTTGTTTATCTTTGCAGTAGCCCACAGCCAGGAATTATATATAAGCGTCTTTGTATAAATAAAGGGTTTTCTTTTTATTATAATAGTGAGAATATCATCTCGCTGGTTCTGTTTAGGTATGAAACCGAATGGTCAATATTATTCTTCTCTCCTTTACTTCAGCTCTAGTCAGTATATTTGAACATGCTCTGAACTGTTTATCATTTATCAGTTTGCCTTCATATACTCAACAGTCTTCATATTCTTTTTGTTGCTTTCAGTTACTAGGAAACTTTCTCCAGTGGTATGGAATCCTTTCAAACAAAGCTCTACAGGAATTATCAATAGATGGTCTGCTAAATAGATATATTCTTATGGCATTTCAAAATTCTGAGTATGGAGATGACAGCATTAAGAAAGCTCAGAGTGTAAGTAAAGTGAAATAAAATGTATTCTGTAAATGCAAATACTTTCCAACTCATGAATTGCAAGTCATGTAAATATGTACTTGTGGTTTGACTGGAATCTGTTCAGCTTCCCCAAGTTTTCCCTTGGGTTCTCTTATTATGATCTCTTTTTCAAAAAGGCAACTGCTCTGTGAGTCTGTCAAGATTTATTTCTAATGTTCATGAATTAAAACAGAATTATGCCCTTATTGCTGTTGGTGGGTAATACTGGGGCCTTTGAGAATTGATTCAGTATGTGATGCTAACATAATTTTTACTTTGGAAATTTTATATTGTACATAGTGAGAGGACTGTAATGTCTGTATTGGGCCTTGCATTTTTTACTGGGTTTTTTTCCAAAAAAAAATCACACCTTTTGATATTTATGTTTTGTTACTTGAGATTTTTTTTAAGTTTCTCTTCCCTTCCTCTCTAGGTAATTGCTTGCTTTCCTAAACAGTGGTTTACCAATCTAAAAGGGGACAAAACCATTATCCAGCTAGAAAACTTCTGTAGATATCTTGTTCATCTGGCTGATGTAATTTACAGAAACAGCATTGGTTGCTCTGATGTAGAGAAAAGAAATGCAAGGTAACTAATTTTGAATATTTTAAGGCATTGGTATCTCTTTTGTTGCTGATGCACACTACTTATGAAAAATAAGCCCCTGTAAAATTCTGCATGTTGCTTTATAGTCTTTGGAGTGATGTCCCCTAACATGGCATCATGGCTTTTGGGTATATTTTATATGGATTGTGTTTGATCTGTTCTCATTAGGTTGTTCTGCTCTTTAAAAAAGAAAAAAAAAAGACTTCAGATTGCACTTAGGGTTGTTTCTTCTTGCTGGCTTCTCATCAAGCTTGTCACACTGTATGGGGAAAATAGTCTACCTTAATAGCTAGATGAATTGGTTAGATTAGATGCTTAAATGCAGCCGATGACAATCTAGTCCATATACCAGTCATCTCAGAGGTTGTATCATTTCAACAAAGGATGAAATTTGAAAACAAAGGTCTGTGTTAGTGTGACAGAACAGTCTTTGACCTCCAAAGTCTTTATTTTGGTGGGGATAAGAAGAGAGGATCTCAAGGTAAGTTTGGGTTAATGGTTAAACCTGTTTGTAAGCTGAAATTCCATGTGGAATCTGATGTGTAAAGCCATGATGTAGGTAGTTAGGTACGTGTTTATTGCAGAACTGTACTTTAGCCATATTAGAATTTGTATCTTTGGAGGCTGTCAATGGAATTGCATTCTCCTCTGTGGTAGATCTTGTTATCATCAGGGAACTGGGCTTTCTGTTTCCTGTAGAAAAAAATGCGGATTTTCCCCTTTTGCAAACAGCTCTCCACAGGCTGGCAGAGTTGTAGCGTGCAATGAGCTGCTTGCAAAAAGGGCATGAAACCCTAAGCCCTGCCTGCTTGGGGGAGTGGAATCTGAGAAGAGCCAGGGCTGGCTCAGACTCACATTGCCTTCTGCAGGCTTTGGGGTGAGTGGGGCCTAGGCTCTTCTGGCAGGGCTGCAGGGGAACAAGGGGCTGCAGGTCAGGAGTGAGGGGCACCAGCCGGTATGGGAATGTGATGTGGTGGTGGGGAGAGGAGGGGAGCAGCGAAAGGTCTGGCCCCTTTCCACCTCCCAAGCACTGGTCCCAGGAGACACAGGCTTGGGGCTGGAATCCTTTAATTAAATTAGCAATGAATAAAATTAGATCATTCCCCAGCAACAGCACACCTGGGCCACAAAGCAGGGCATCTGGCCTGCCTGCTTTGGGAAGGGTGCAAGGGGTAGGGGGTCAGAGCAGAGGAGCGCTGGGAGCCTGGATGCCTGGGTTCTCCCTCTGCTGTATCCCAAACAGCCCCATCTCCCCAAGAAAGACCCTGGACCCGTGAGTTTCCTCTGCCCTCTGTAAAGGGAGCTAGGCCTGGGGCATAAGTTGGCACCCCAGACCATTGGGGTTCTGTACTCACTTGGGGATAGGACTCGGGGCTGGCAGGTTAAGGTGGGAGCTGAGACACCTAGGTTCTTGGCTGTCTCTTGGAGGGGAATGGAGGCTGACCGCTTAGAGCAGGGGGCTGACAGCCCAGACCCCTAGGTTCTACTCCTGCTCTGTGGTGCTTTGCAGGGGCAAACAGTCTGTCCCCACGGGTGCTGCTAGTGAGGCCAGTGCCAGATCCTCAGACCTAAACTGGAGAGGAGAGGTGGATTCTCTGCCTATCAGGGAGATCTGGGGGGCAGGAGGCTGTGGGTAAGGAGTTGAGAGGTTATGGGGTGACTGTGGCTTGGGAGTGAGGGATACTGGCATATCAGGGCTGCTCAGTGCCACAAAACAGCAGGGGAGATGGCCATAGCTTGACCCATGTCCTGGTGAGCAAAGAGGGCAGAGGGGGAGCTCTGATTTTCCATGATAAAAAAAAAAAAAAATCAAAATCAAATGCCAAAATATATAGGTATTTAGAATTTTATTTAATTATGATTGAGACACTGGTTGGCTTCCAAATTGCTTAATAATTGTAAATATGTCAATAAAACACTGTATTCAACTGATACCTATATATAGTGGTGTTTCATTTTATTTGCAGAAAAATGTAAATGGGGGGTATCAGAGAATTTTGGATTTTTATCAGAAAATTTTGTATTTTTTTGAGAGAGAAAAACCAGGATCACTGGTTATCATGTATAGGTTTAAATAGCCAATTTTTTTTCAAAGCGTATGTTGGAAGGAAATTGAATTTGAGAGGGTTTTTTTCTTGGAGACCTGAACAAATATCCCTCATTTGACTGAAGCTGTAGTGATAATGCCATGTAATTTCATTTCTTTCAGTTGCAGTAGTAGTTATTGCTAGGCTTACATCCTTATCTCTGTTTTTAAAAACAACTTTTAGTTTTGTGGACATCTGAATCATGCTCTTGTTGGAGAATGGAGAACACTACTGATCTGGTGCAAAGGATGGTCTAATGCTTTTTAGCCAGCCTAGGCCAGCAGCAGTAGTTTTTGTCTTTAAATCTTGTGACTACTTTGTGTACCAACTTCCTCTCTCCTTCAGCAGTCAGAAACCCAAAATGCTTACACTTTAACTAGATTCAATATTTTGCTTTTTAAAGAAACGTAAAGAAGTGAGGAGTATTAGTAGTATTAGCTATTTTCTTTCTACGTGTACTGTAGTTTTGTATGGAAAAAACTAGCACACGACTGTGAATTAAGGGGAAAAAATATTACAGGAGGTCAGTTGGATATTAAACCAAAGAATTATACTCCAGTCTCAATTTTAATTCCTGTGTGCTTTGTGCAGGTAATGCCTATTGAAGCATAGGGAAATAAACATCAAGTGGCAAAGCTTTTTCAGTCACCGTATGGTAACATATGAGAGACTTGCTCTATAATTTCAGTTTACAAAATTATAAAAATCTTCTTGTGTTGTATCTGTGTATCTAGACTCCTCTGTCATGCAGTATCAAGGGAAATATTGCTAGTACATTGTCTCAAAGCAGAAACATTAATCACACATTACTTGTGCCAAAAGGAAAATAAACATGCTAACCTGTATCTGCATCTGTCAGTTTGTCCAGTATGAAGGACTATTTCAGAGTTTGATTTGATGGTCTCATGTAAGGTAGTTTTTTAGACCATTCTACTGTTTGAAACTTTCTTTAGATGTTTGACTCCCATGCAGTCTTCATCTTTTTTGTTCAGTAAAATTGTTCTTAACTAGGCTTGTACCCCTGTAGACTAGATTGCTAGGGTTTGTTCACGCCAAACCTACTAGATTGATCTGAATCAGGTGTTTGTGTAAGTGTGTGGCCTCTGTCTTACCTCTGGATACATGCAGAAAGAGTGGCTGCTGATTTTTGACTTGATCAGTATGTTTACTAGCAAAGATTCACTTCCTAAAGCCAGTTATGACCAATAGGGCTGTGAGAAGCTTAGGTTGCTGATTCGGTTCAGAGGAGATGCAGCCTGATTCGGCAGCCAAATATCTGAATTCAAATTGAATTGGGAGACCAGTAAAAAGGTCCAAATCATTTCAAAGCTTTCTGAATCGATTCAGAGAGATTCAGAGATTTGGGCAGTCTCCGCTCACTGCCGTAGGGAGCTGGACCCAGACTCCATGCTGGTAAGTAGGGAGTGGAAGGAGGGGGCTGGAGGAGTGGGGAGGGGAACCATGGGGGAAACCCCATCAGGCCCCATCCCTTGCCTGTTCTCCCAGCCCCACTGAAGACTTCCCCGATCCCCACCCATTCTCCCAACTCCATCAATGGTTGCCCCGCCCAGCCCCAGCATCCTGGTGCTTAAAAAATATATATATTTAAAAAAAAAAAAAAATGAAAGCCCTGCACTCACCGGTACAGCAGTAGGGGGCCAGCCAGGGATCACCCCCTGCCTGGCAGGAGCCAGTGAGCGCAGGGTTTTTGGGTTTTTTCTAAAGTGGTGGGATGCTGCAACTGGGCGGGGCAGCCATTGATGGGGCTGGAAGAGCGGGTGGGGGTGGGCCCCACTCAGTTTGGAGATTCAGCCAATTCGGTGGTGTCTGAATCACTGAATCAGATTCAGCAGAATCTGTTCGGGACAGTGATTCAAATCACCAAATCGAATCACTGCCCCTGAATTGGCTGCATCCAAATCCAAATCGAATACTAGCTACTTCGCACAAGCCTAATGACCAAGACTTTATCCTGAGGCAATGGTACATTCAGGTAACCTACACGTACAACATATGCTCTTTCTCGCTTTAGTGTCACTACCCCCAAAGTAATTTTTCTGGTTTAATATCCATACTGATAATTTGCTTTCATTTCAGTTAACTTCAGATTTTTTTTAACTTTGTTATCCAAAGCTGTTTGTGTCTCAACAAATGTATTTAGTTTTCAGAAAATAAAACAGTTCTCTGCTTTCAAATGTTAATACTTGTCTTGGATAGTTTAATGTTTGTGTGTACTGACTTATTTTTCCCCCTTTCTCCATGTAGGGAGCACATAAAACAGATAATAAAGCTTCTAGCAAGTGTTCGAGCTCTGGACCATGCTGTGACGGTTGCAAATGATCACAATGTGAAAGAGTTAAAGGTTTTAATTGAAGGGAAATAAAATTTTCAGATAACTCATTCTGAGCTTTAAAAACCATTCCCGATTGTGTAATGTATATGTACATATGTAAAGTTTCTTAAACTGTAAAGTCTTGATCCTTGTTTTAATACAAAGTGCATTCTTATATACAGCATCCTTAAGTATTGATTTCTTTAAAAGAAAAAAAAAAAAAGAATCCTGGAAACTACTTCTCCAGAAACAGATTTTCCTTAGATTGCTCAGCATCTTGTTTACAAAAACATTTTGTACCCAAAATACCTAACCATCTACTCAGTTACTTGTCCCATGGTTAACTGGAATGTGGGTATTGTGTAATTACACAGTGTGCATATATTTGTATTACCATGTTACTTTCACACTGGATTTACTGGTCTTTTATTGTTAAAATAAGTTTTTTCACTTGCTGAAATTTATTTTGACAGTAAATTGACCATACTGTTGGTCAAAAGGGTTGGCAAAACGTTCAAATACGTAAGAATCATTTGACCTAATTTGAAAGGGAGCTTTCAAATAGCACCTGATATTGCATGGCAGCTGTGCTGCTCTCATATTAAAATAATTGAAGTTTACTTACGTTCAGAATGAATACAGAACTTTCTTCAAACTGTTCTTGAAATCATTCAACATCACTTTTCATAAAAACATTAGATTGGCAATTTAAATGTGGCAACTCACGTTTAAAGGTAAGTGGCAGCATTCCCTGACCCCAGAAGAGTCATTTACTTTGAAAAGGCAGCATTTCATGAATCCTGGATCCTCATCTTATTAGTAACTCAGCTAAATTTTTACTGTTCTATAATATAATTTATAACAATTTTGATTTATACATGGAATCTGTTTCCTCACAGATGAGTCTTTCTAGAGGTATAAAAGCCAAACAGGAAAATAAATTTTCTGTATCTCATAAATACTTGCCACAGTGTAAACAGACCAAGCAACCAAATTTTACAGTTCCTGCTAATCCAGGTTTGTTTGGTTTTGTTTTTGGTTTTTTTTTTAAATGAGCCATCATGCAAAAACAAATGCTCAATTTATTTGTGGCAAATCAAAATGCTATCTTTGGTATAAGCTCTCTTACATTGGAACACCAGTGATATTCTGGGGGCTCCAAGGAAAGGGGATAACAGCTGTCACTGTTTTGGAAATAGTTTGTCCAAATGTGCCCTACATTACTTGGGAATTGTAGCAATAAATTGGCATACTGAGTAACATTAGAATCATTGTATTTTATGCTCATGTCATGTGATATAAATGAGTATATTAAAATGTACAATTTGTAACATGCACACATCATTTGAACACCAAACAGTTGCTTTTTCTGAACTTGTTGGACTGATGGATACATTCAGAGTGTCTGCTTTTAAGAATCCTTTCAATAAACTTGTCTGTCATGGAGCTGTATCAGTGCAACCTGTGAGGTTTTATCTTTTACTTCAGAATGGTATTAACAGAAGAACTTTCCATGGTTAAATAGTTGTTTAAATAAAAAAACAAACTGAATTGGAAAACAGATTTTGAAATATACCAAAGCCACATTGTCATGATGGATTTCATTTGCTTTCCCAAGGTAAAAGTTAGATTTTCAATATATAGATGAGAGAATTCCAAATTGGCAGATCTGGTGTGGGGTGCAATGGTGTAGTTGTATACCCTGCTCCCTCCTTTGATTTCTCCTCCCAACTTTTAAAACAAGCTGCCTAGGATGGGCAGTGGCATGTCAATTAAGTCAGTGCTGAAAGAATCAATTGATTTAATGGTCCACTATCATCCCCCTGATTCATGCTAATCTATACTCTGCAAGATCTTAACAACCCTCTCCTTTTTAATGATCTTAATGTTCCACTATTTGAGCTATGCTTTCTTTTGCAATCTTACTGTCTGTCCTGCTAATGTCTTTCTCCTATTTCACAGCCCTGCAGTTTGTGTTTGACTCTAGCTAAAAACTTTACCCAGGTATGGTCATGTGAACCAGTGTATAGAAAAGACTGGCAGCGAAGTATTGTACTGCCAAGACATTCGAGAAGACTAGATTTTGTTTGATGAATCTGAATAAGAGACATGCATTTAACTATAATGACTACAGAACTAACGGAACTGTATCTTTTGACTATGTTTGCCTATTTTGTTGTGGTTTTTTAATTTTATATATAAAACTAGGGAGTTAGTGCACATTTCATTAGTTATATTTGTTTTGCTTCAATCTTAAATTGAATTACTATAGTCTTGTCATCTTTGGCAATCCCTCACAGTCAAGGATGATTGTCTTCCATGATTGTCTTATCTGTGTGTCTGAAGATGGCTGATGAGGCCTAACCAGGATCAGCAGACTCTACTGCAGCTTGGACACGTGTTTTCATGTGGTGCAGGTAGCGCTAGATTCTTGATTTGGTCCGTGACATGCTGTTTCAGCTGCTCCAACTTTTCCATCTCCTGTTGTTGTGAGGTTTCAGAGTATTGAGATACCTGCAGAAGACTCTTCCTCCGTTTGGGGCAATCCTGGGCAGTAGTCTCCCACAAGTTGAAATTGATGCTGCATTTTTGTTAAGTTGGCCGTGAGGATGTCCCTGATGTGCTTTCTCTGCCTTCCTCTTGAAGTGTACACCTTGGCTGAATTGAGAATAAAACTTGTTTTGGGAGTCTGGAGTCAGACATCCAGATGACATGGCCGGCCCATTGAAATTGATGTTGGATGATCGTTGCTTCAATACTTGTGTTTGCTTCCAGGAGGATGCTAAGGTTGGTACGTCTGTTTTCCCACTGGATTTAGAAGATCTTCCACAGGCAGTGTTGAAGGTACTTCTCCAACAACTTTAGATGTCTGCTATATGTCATATTTCAGCTCTGTACAGCACAGGGGGGATCACAGCTGCTGAATAAACCATGAGCTTGGTGTCAGATCTGATGTTGCAATCGTTGAACACCTGTTTTTGCAGGCATCCAAAGGCTGCACTTGCACATTTGAGGGGATGTTGGATTCCTTCGTTGCTGTCATCCTTCTGCGAGAGAGGGCTTCTGAGGTACAGGAAATACTCAATGTTTTCCAAAGCCTCACCACAGATCTGGATTACCAAAGCTGGGGGGACTGTTCATTAGGAGCTTGTTGGTGAAGGACCTTAGTCTTCTGAAAGTTACGCGTCAGTCCCATTCTCTTGTATGCCTTGGTAAAGACGTCAGCAATGGCCTGAAGGTTTGCTTGCAAGTGAGCACACACGACAGCATCATCAGCATACTGGAGCTCAGTGATTGGAGTGGGGGAGGTCTTGGTTTTGGCTCAGTTGGCTGAGGTTAAACAGCTTGCTGTCCATTCCGTGGTTTAGTTCCACCCCAGCTGGAAGCTTGTTAGTGGCCAGATGTAAATCATGGCAAGGAATATTGGGACGAGTCTTGGAGTGATGATGCAGTCTTGTTTAATGCCCACTGTAACCTCAAAGATATCTGTGATGGATCCATTTCTGAGAACCCGTGCTTGAATACTGTCATGGAGCAGGCAGAGACTGGTGACAACTTTTGGTGGGCATCTGTACTTCAGAAGGATCCTCCACAACGCTTCTCAGCTGACAGAGTTGAAAAAGCTTTTGTGAGGTCAAAGAAGGCATTGTAGAGAGAGGCTTATGTTGTTCCTGGCATTTCTCCTGCAGCTGGTGAGCTGTGAAGATCACATCAGATGTGCCTCTTGACACCCTAAACCCACACTGAGATTCTGGGAGGGGCTCTTCAGCAAGTGGAAAGGGATGGTTCAGAAGGGTTCTTGCAATGATCTTGTCTGTGGTGAAGAGCAAGCTGGTACCTCTGTAGTTTCTACAGTTGGACGTGTCTCCTTTCTTGAAGATTGTCACAATCATAGTGTCCCTGAGGTTGTGTGGGATTTTCTCATCATTCCAGGTATTTTAAGGTGAGGGTGTGAAGCTGTGATGGGAGCTTCTCTCCTCCCTGTTTGAAAGTTTCAGCAGGGATTCCATTCGCTCCAGATGCTTTGTTGTTCTTCATCTGCTTGATGGCTTTCCTCACCTCATCAAGGGTTGGAGGGATTCCAAGAACATCTCTGACTGAGCATTGCGGGATGAAGTTGAGAACACTCGTCAACAGCAGTCTCAATTTAAAGAAGGTCTTCAAAATGTTCCATCCAATGGGCTTTGATGGCTCCCTCTTCCTTGACCAGGTTTCCTCCATCCTTAGGTCTCAAGGGGAGTTGGTCCCCGAGTGCATGGACCATACATGACTTTGCTGGCACTGAAGAAACTGCATATTGTGAATGTCAGTGAGATGTCGAATCTCCTCAGCCTTGTCTTTCCACCATTTGTTCTTCATATCATGGGTCCTCCTTTGGACCTCTGCCTTGGCTCGTTGGAGATTCAGTTTAATTTGCCTGGAGTTGGTGGTGTTTTGCCAAGCGCAAAAGGCCTTGCATTTGTAATCAATCAACTCTTGGATATCCTGGTCATTTTCATCAAACCAGTCTTGATGTTTCCTGGTAGAGAATCCAGTTGTTTCTTCACAGGTGCTGATGATGGCGGCCTTGATCCTGTATGCTGCTGGCATTTTCCCATTGTTGATGGGAATTCACTGGTTTTTCATTGAGGCATGGGTAGAAGAGGTTTCACTTGCTTGGGTTCTTGAGTTCTTCCATGTTAATCTTCCATTGCCATTGCTTCTGCTGTGGCCATCATTTGGGAGCCAGTTTGAGTGACAACTGAGCTGATGAGTTGATCAGTCCAGCAGTCATCAGCTCCTAACAAAGCTTGGGTGATATGGACATCTTTGCAATCCCAGGCATGGACAATGACATAGTCAATCGAGTGCCAATGCTTAGATTGTGGGTGTTGCCATGATGTCTTGTGCCTGTTTTTCCTGGGGAACAAGAGAAGAACGTGGTGGTGTATGTGACGATGCACCATCTGTACCCTGCTTTTCAAAATCCTAGATCCATCCATAATTCCAAAGATACCTTCAAGGCTGTTATTGGTGGATTTAATAGATGGTAATATTTTTTGCCCAGCTGAAGAGAATCATCAAATTGTGATGTAATGGTAACTTGTGTTCAAGAGCAGCAAGTACCAGTAAAATGACAATGGTTTGTAAAGCCAATAGTAAAATTACTTGACTTGAATTTTGTAGCATAACTTCCCTTAGGCAGAAAAAGAGCACAATGGTGCTACCCAGCATTACTAAAAGTATTTAAATATTCTCAAGGCTCAAAGGGTAAAATTCAGAAAGGAATTTAGACAATTTTAAGACATTACCTCACTCCAACATTTTTTGAAAGCATGAAGATTTTTGCTCGAAGGATCAACATTTGCAGGTTGTTAGCCTACACTGAGCTCCATGCTATTTCAGCTAAACTAATGCAACCACCCAAGCTAGCTGGCATACAGCTAATTTGGGTATCTACAATACGCTTGAGTTCACATCTGATTGTAGTGTATCCTTATAGATAACTGCACGCATCTTCCGAGCTGGAACAAAAACCTTAGATTGCACTTCCAGAATCAGATCTTTATCAGGAAAGTTTGTTAGGTAAAAGCCACAGCTTTGAATATTTAATAGTACTGTTTGCTGTTGACTGTAAATGGCTAGCATTACTTCCACTTAAGGAAACATGCTTCTATTAGATGCTTCATAAAATTGTGACTTCAACCACAATGGAATGGGTTCAATAATCTTACCAGTCTAAGTGCATATTTTATTTTATTTTTTATTTTAAAGACTGTTAGGATAAAGGTATTTATATACACAAAACTGGCTAACAGTGAAAGTGAACATGTCAGTCCTGGAAAGATGACTTTCTAGATGACTGAATAGCAGGCTTTATTGGTCACGAAGGGTAAGTCATTGCAGCCTTAGTGTAATGAATAACCTGAGCAGTAGGTTGCCTTAACACAGCTCTGTTGTCTTTGATATCTGAGCCTGATATTGGGTGTTTCTACTCAGTACTTTTATTATGCCATGTAGACATAAAGTTGAAGTATGTTGACCAGGTTTTCACAGCCAGAATTAAATAATTGCTTGCCAAATATGTTGTTAGGAGGAAGAAAGCTGGCATGTTCAAAGGTCCACCATAGGGCAGGATACACTATTGGAAGGAAATGTGAGGAAATGTGGACAACGATTTGATGGCTGTCCTCTAAACTTTGAAATGAACAAAAAGGCGAATAAGCCAATTAGCTGGTCGTTGTTTGACCCTATTCCCTGGCTCTCTGTCACCATCTCATGGAGTAAGCCAGGAGCAGAGTAGAACTTATCCTACCTGTGTGTCTGCCTGTTGCTTGGAAAAGTTCATAGGAACAACTGTTCCTATAGTCTTTGGGTGTATTAATACATCACTGTGCCCTCCAGAGTATTACTTTCTCCCTTGCTTTGCTGTCTATTTATGCCTCCATTGTAGTGCTGGACAGGGGTGGAGA